GATTATGACGTATTTGATTTTGCGCAATCCAAATTATGCGTGCCGCTCTCTATTGCAACGCAGCAGTAACATCAAACTTAGAGGCTACGCCTTGAAATTAGCAGAACAATACAGTCGCTTGGCGTGCCGTAAAAACATCGTTTCCTTTCGTGTGTGTCAAACATGGAACGCTCTCCCCGAATCTGTTGTTTCAGCATTCACGTTAGCCATAACTGAATGTCGGTCGGATGACGCACTCCGTCACTTACATTGTGTTACTTGACGTTACTCTCCAACTTACACCCAGGAAATACCCTGGATTTACTTTTATTCGCCTATTGAAGCTATGGGGACGCTCATGGTGCAGAGCTACTGCATCAAAAGCGATAGATCCATTAGTTTGACAGTGAAACTACTAACAGCTTTTTACAATAACGTTTTTCGCTAACAGGGCTTGTAAAGCAATGCTTCTTAACCCGTATGAAGTCACTGCTCATTGTTCATTGGCGACCAACTATAAGCTTCCTACTTGCTAGATTACAAACCGCACTGTTATACTAGAAGCAATCCAAATGAGTAGGCATTCGGTGTGACGGTCCTCGCTGTAGCCATACGGGAGTGTCCATGACCACACCTTCATTTTTGAGCAAAATAACGTTGTTCTGTTGAGCTGACGGAACGCAACGATAGTCTTAGAAGTAAACGGTGCAGTACGTCACTGGGTTGCAGTAACTAGGAGGCAGCCGAAATATGCATGAGGATGGGTACTTTGCACTCTTAGTCTGTGGTTAAGCATGTGTAAAAGCATTCCAATTGGTGAACCTATCTCAGAAGCAATATCAGTCGGCCGTGATTTAAAACCGCGGTTACTTGGCAAGTGCGTATTTGAAACTAGTGAGGAACCAATCTGTGCTGAACTACTTCTTGATGGCCTCAACCAAGAGATTCACAAAACTGGCACTTCTGAAGCTTAGTATATTTAATTACCTGTTTTACTGAAAGCTGGACTGGAACATTAATTGAACTGAGGCTGTTTCCATCCCTGTTGGCTGAGGATGTCAATTAGGATCAGACTGCGTAACCGGTTAGCATGGAGCACCACGTTTCTAATGAACGATAGATGACATCTTCTGCTAACGATGATTCAGATAAATGAAAGCTTTTTCTACGGCCTTTGCATCCATGCATTACTGGCAGCAACAGGAGGTGTCCCATCAGATTTCCGAATTCAACCGCGATTTTCGAACCCCGGCAAAGAATAAGCTCATCACAGCCCTAGCTAATCTCTTTCGATCTCTGAGAAAGCATACTACAATGAGAGCAGGCGATGAGAAATGGTGATCATTCATGGCCGTTAGTTTTAATCAGGCGAGTAAATGCAACATCTTTCTTTTCTTTCTTATGCTTGCCAGTCTTCGTCGCTTGTCGATATGAGTAGTAGGGAGATTTGCTGTGTTTTGGAAAAGATTCCTCGCAGCTAGACTCAGCCCGACAGCCACCATAAATCTAGGAAATTCCATACGGCAGTTTCGCCCTATTGGGACTAGTCAGCAGCGCGTACTGAGCATGGCTCGATGGCATAGGTCGCTGCCTCATAAAAGTAAAGTCACGGGTTGGGATCCGGCAGAATTCGGTGGGTGCGCACTACTGGCGCGCCCCAATAGGACGAAACCGCCGTCTAGGGCTTGCTTGGATATGCGGTGGCTGTCTGGCTGAGTCTAGCTGCGACGAGACTTCTCCAAAAACTTGTCGATGTCTTGGATCTCTCGGGGTAGACAAATGTAGACCCTGATTCCTGTACTTGGATCAGAATTTAACAACTGAGCTGAGCACGAATTCATTGTTCGAGGAATTTTAGGAGATTAGTCCTCTTCAGTAAACTGGAAACTGTTGTAGCGTCCTGACTGTAACAATGCTCCTAGTTGAAACAAACGATAGATTTGAGCATTGTATACACCCACGGAAAAGTACTCGATAGAATTCGATTACAAATGAGTAGACGGATTTCGATATGATTCAAGTTGGTTCATCGCAATTAGATTCCAAGTCGCATAGGTAAGCTACCAATCCGGAAAAGCACCAGACGCGCGTTTCGCCCTATTGGGGCTCGTCAGTGTTGCGCATCCATCGGTCCCCTACTGGGGATCGAACCCATGACTGCTAGAGACTAAAGCCAACTAGCCAGCAGCTTATGCCACTGAGCCATGGGGGACGACATCCGACCATTACGAATTGAAACCTAACTGCGATATAGCCCGACCCATGCTCTACTGCCGTGCAGGTTATTGCCCGTGCGGAGGACAGTGGTTGACCGTCACGGTCAGGTCTTCTCTTGCCAACCCCGTGAATCCACACAGCAATTTTGAATACTGGTAGAGCTTAGATTTTTGATAACAAATGAGTAGACGGATTTCGGTATGATTCAAGTTGGTTCATCGCAATTAGATTTCAAGCCTGACCGTGACGGCCAACCACTGTCCTCCGCACGGGCAATAACCTGCACGGCAGTAGAGCATGGGTCGGGCTATATCGCAGTTAGGTTTCAATTCGTAATGGTCGGCTGTCATTCTCCATGGCTCAGTGGCATAAGCTGCTGGCTACTTGGCTTTAGCCTGTAGCAGTCATGGGTTCGATATCCAGTAGGAGACCGATGGATGCGCACCACAAAGGAGAACTCGATTAGTAGAACCCTTGGGACTTGGTCACCAGAACTTTTCTACGCGCGCATTAAATCAAGCAACTAGAACGAACGCGGTCCCTGTACACGACTATAAAACTTCGAGTGAGTGGGAGAGAGAGAAAAATACAAGACCATCGCAACTGGCCCATCATAGAGTGAATACGTCACCGAGATTGGTGATGTATGTGATTTTCCACACAGAACAGTTGGTGTAGGGTAAACCAATAAAGCAAGGAGTAAGCAAACGAAGTAACACAATACGAATTCAAGAAGGATGTGTCCTGAAAGTAAAGTTTTGTGATTGCGGAGGCTGGTCAGAAAAAGTGATTATGTGAATACGGTTGAACATGAATGCGTCTGTGCAGTATGTGGTTTCGACTTGTGCTGTCTTGTGGAGACGTGCCATCCCCAAAACAAAACGATATAAACCTGGGAGATGTTTGTTGTATGTATTTCGAGTTTTTTGTCATTCAACAAATCTTCTTCATTATTCATAGTTTCATGACGGTGGACCATCTTCACAGCCCCCAAAAACCTGACAGTCAATATTCACAGCATGCTTGCTGCTGGCGAACTCATTCATACCAAATTATTTAATCCTCCACTTTAACTCATAAATTGTTTAAACAGTCATTGCTGTCGAAGGCACCAGTTTGATGTTTCGATGTATGCGAAGAAATAGAAGCAGTCCTAAGGCTTCCAAGAACGAATTCTTCCTCAATTGTCTCAGCCAAGGAGTGCAAAGTTAGTACTAGTTGGACTACGTCACGCTCTACAAGTGACTCGCTTGTGACCTGACCTTCAGTTGGTTTCACGTGCTAGAGTGTGTATTGTGACTTTTGGAGCGAGGCGCCTAAGTGCAAATCAGCACAGACTGGGTAAATTCGCAACGATTACACAAGTCTACAATGAGTCTCCTACAAGGCTCTCGGTGCCCTTTTATGTTTTATGGTCGTTAAGTAGCGGACAGATATTATGGTTGGCGACATCCGGTTACGGATTTGCCTGTCACTGTGGCAACTCACAGGAGGCCTGCGCCTACAGAAAGAGACCATAGGGGGCTTACGCTGCACCACCCACAGCTCCAACCACACACCGAATATCCAGTGTAAACCCCGAAGGAATAAGACCGGGAGGCAAGTGGCTGGGAGCCACGTTTCATCAACGGAGCCGGCCCACACTCCTGCACAGGCAAACACAAGCACGCTGTAGTTGGGACTCAAGCGCACACAAGGCGGTGGCTGGACCGTAGTCCGCTCCACACTGAGTGCATGGAACCACTCTTCGAGCCTAGCACGGCCACAAGCACTGTGCACGCCGTCCCCTGCAACAACGATTAACTGTCTCTTAGAGCCAGTATGGACGAAGTCGTGGGTTATTGAGAGGCAGGCACCTTGTCAACATGCACATCAAGCGCAACCACACCGGGGATATCAAGCAACAGCCAACCACTTGAAACGACAAAATGAAATAAAATAAATCGTATAATGAATTAAGATACGGTGACAAAACTCTTCCCTAAGTTAGCATATGAAGTAGGTTGGCTAGCGGTGAATCCCCGATAATTACAAAATATCCAGAAGTTACCCAAACAACGCTACAAATGCAATACGTTGATGAAGATAACCACAATTAGTGAAAGCAAAGTGCACAGCTAACAGAACATCTTTATGGTATGCAAAACAAACTCAATAAAGTAGCATGAACTTTATCCAGCTTAAAAAGACTTAGTTTAAAAGTAAGTTGATTTAGGTCAACTGCGGCGAAGAAGCATCATGAATGTAACATCAGTCTCAGCATGGAGCAAATCTCATACATACATGGTTGGCGGCTTCCGGTGTCGGATTTGCCTGTCACTGTGGTCAGCCACAGGACGCCTGCGCCTACAGAAAGAGACCATAGGTGGCTTGCGCTGCCCCACCCACAGCTCCAACTACCCATCTTATATCCAGTGTAAAGCCGAAGGAATAAGACCGGGAGGCATGTGGATGGAAGGCACGTTTTATCAATGGAGCCGGCCCACACTCCTGTTGTTGAACTAAAAATACTGACTGTGGTAAGCAGTTCGGGTCACATGAGTTGGCTTACACCCATAAGGTCACCGGTTCGAATCCACTTGGGCGCGGACGTCCCCGCGGTATACTCAGCCCACGCGCCACTGATGGTAGTCCCGCAGCAGCGAAGCGCCGTTACGGCGTACAGCTTACGATTACATCATTATTTATTACAGGGTGTATGATTAAACCACATCGTCTGTTCTCTACGGTTACTCACTGGCTATGCGGCACCGTAGCTGTATTTGCCACCTGCAGGTAACGTGAATAGTGAATGAATGACTCACTGACTAGCATCAGTTGTTGCATAAACGGTTGTGGAGCTGAAAGGTTTGGCCTCCTTGAATGACCGAAGACAGAGTCACTGCCTTCTTGTCTTCTCAGTGCTGTTTCCTTCGAGGACATCCAGGTCAACTCCTCGGGTTTAGGTTTCGATAGTGCGATTTCTTCTAAATCCTAATGCACAAAATGACAACCAAATATACTAAGTGCTGATTGTAAATTCAAAAAAGAACATTCGACGTCAATTAATAATGAATGGTTAAGTTGCACCAACTGATAGACTACAAGGCTTTTGCTCTTGTGTCAAGGCCCAGGTTTGTTCAATGCATCATTTGCCGAGGTAAGCGTTAAACAATCCTCGATGCATGTCAGGATGTGCTGGGAACATTATGCTGAAGTGAAGCGTGCTGTTGATATTTGAGTCACATGTACTCGAATGCAAAAACAGCACACTCGTCCACTGAATTGTGCTAATGGAGGGAGCTGAAAATATGACTATCGCAACAGTGCATCAAGTAGCTATATAGGTACCTCATTCGCATTGCCCCCAGGAAACTAGGCGTGAGATGGATAGTGTGAAAATGTATCACAGCCACAGGTTGTTGGTGAATGTATTGCTTGTACAATTTGTGGTTTGTTGGCCTTGGCTTAGCGGTCTCGACTCCGTCGAAATGACATGCAAGCTCGGTTGGCACGTATGCTTATCATACCCACTGGTAGATCAAGACGCTTTGAGAGTCCGCAACATGAGAATTAGCTATTTCTAGCAGGCGCTACCAAGTGTCTACGTCTCGATTTACTTCCTGGGCAACTCCTGCTCCGCTTTTTACCATCCGTTCTGACGACAGTGCCACGGTAAACGACCTACGTATAGTTATCCACAACTGTATTTAGAAAAGTAGAGTGCGGTTTTAAAAGTAGTGCATACATACGTTTGGTCGTCTATCTTGCGGAGGCAGCGACACTAACACTTTACTTAACCCCCCAAGAAAAACCTCACACTGAATATTATTGCATTTATCTTCATTTGCGCTTATGACATCTATACATAATTCACAGCGAAAGTACAATTCTACCCACTCCGATGATTTTTCTGTTATTGCCCTGGCTGCACTACCCTGGGTTAAGCTCCAGAAGTACCCGAATAATTAAGCAAAACGAGGTCAGCTAACGTACGGTCAAACGCGAGGCACGAGTTTTTATGCTGCCTCCCACCACAGTCGTTTGTGACGGCGGATTTGCTTATAACTAAATGGCCACTGATCTAGAAAGACACAAAACCAGTCAGTTTATGGAAAATTTCCAATGGCACGTCGCGTTGCTGTCATAGCTGGAGGCACAGAATTCATCTTTATGACAAACGATTTAGGGCTGATAGTGTTTGGTTGGCTAGTTGGATAGCCTCCTGAGGCCATCTCATTCAACCTAATGGAGTACTATACCGCACAAATAGCACTTATCGTTGGATACCTGGCGGTTCTCCATCTATCAGCTTGTTAACTTCCTGTCATTTTGTCCAACTATATTTAATCTAAATGTGCGCGGTGTGAAAAGCATAGTAATCGGCACGTTGATAGAGTGGAGTGATGATGTCGCATGGCCCTGAGGTGACCAGTATCTGCGTGTCGGATCTTATAATACCGACCACTGATGTCGGTACCAGTGCATTTATTAGGCTCATTATCCCAAGGAGTTCAGTTCCCTTTGTTTCATTTTCTCTAGTATTTCAACCCAGGGAAATTTTCGCCTCCTTCGTGCATTAGTAGCGCGGAGGACTTTAGGGCTTTTGAGTTGTCACATACAAAGGATAGGAACAAACGTGTACAGAACCGGCCTTCTTACCGCATTTGTTCAATTTTTATCATAGGCGTTTCTTGTTGATAGCTCCAGACTATGGATGCGTGCATCACTGTATGCATCTGGAATGCATATTTCACTCAAGAAGGGAACGGTAGGTTGTGTGGACCAAGTGGCTATCGTTTCGGGATATTCGAAGTACGCAGTCCGTGTATGGAAGTGGCGAATGGGTGGCCAACTCCATACTCCGACATTTAATGAGTCCCTATGTTTCACATCTATAATCAACACATTGCTCGACGATATTCGCAGTATGCAAAGAGTTCTAATGCGGTAACAAGGATGGTCTTTTAACCCCATCTCGGCACAGTGCAGTCACCCGGAACAAGTGGTGGCGCCTGTTTAGTATGAAGGTCGACGCATCAGGAAGGCCATCCAAAGCGGTTGCGGTATAACGTACATTGGCAACACTAGTAAATTTCCCAAATTGAGGTCAAAAGTCAGCAATAATTGTGCTCCACCTTCAGAATGCTGATACGTTTGTAGATTCCTAAAAACTTCGCTACATCACCAAGTGGGATAACCCATAGTCACTCTGATTGCGCAAAAATTCTTCACCGTTAACAAAAGAGTACCTACGACAAATACGGTCATTAAGCTGTAAATTACCTCAGAGTGAACCTGACGGTCCCGAGTTCCACAGTCCCTGTTTAGTTGATCACTGTAGCACTGGGCGAATGGTACGAATTCGGTCCCATCCGATCCACCGTTGCTATTGTTTGTTTCACACTCTCCTGTTGTACTGCCACAGCTTTCATGAGTATTCTCCGGGTTAAACTCCACCACTTTCGGTTTGTCATCAAATGTATCTTGCGCGTCATCCAAATCTGATCTGCACTTGTGCGACTCAGGCGAACGTGCGTGGTTTTGCACATCGGCTATAAACAAATTCGAATGAGATTCCATGTGCGATGCATCAGCGGAATCACCCGCACCGAGTGTTGACGCTCCGTTGAGTTCGTCGCTCACGGAAATTTGGAGCCCTGTTACTGCAGGATCGTTGCGTTCACTTTCGTCGGTGTCGGTATCCGAAGTCGCCCCATCCCCGCGCTGGTCTCCATACAGCCAATCGATATCTCCAGGATTGACATGAATGTTATCGGAGGGCAGACCTTTTGCTTCGGCAGCTTCTCGAAGTTCCGTTTCTCTTCTTCGCGCCTCTATGATTTGTCGTCTTTCCCGCAGCCCTGATAATAAAGCAAATGTACTAGTTAAGTGCAGTTTAACTACTCCCATTGCGCAAGTAAACAACATTATTGCGACCTGGAAAATTGATGAGTCAACTAACAGACTGATGAAAAGTTATCCGATTTTTAACCATAGGACCGATGTGAAAAGAAACTGTGCTACTAGGGATCGGTAATGGGACTCTTGATAGATGATGAAAATATAGCCCACTGAACTGTCTGACTGAACCACGCTGGGACCGAACGCCTCAAAATATATCATGAAAACGACTAAGTCCTCAAGATGGATAATCAATAGATGAAATGGCTACACGCACACTGGTGCTCTGATGACAATACCTGTAGAGGACGCTTGGGGAAAATGTACACCTAAACAGGCTGCAGCTATGCTTTTATCTTACTGCAAGGTAATTTCAGTCACATGACTCGGGATCAGGAGGACTAGTTGATTCGGAAGTACCTGTCTAACATGGTCTTGGAGGTTTGCTCTCTTCTTTGGTTAAACTTCCAACAATCCCACCGACTCCAAACATTTAGCGCAGTCTCGTTTCGTTATCGTCTAACTGTGGCACAGGATGGATATTTGGAGCACAACCCCTGATACCCACAAAAGATTTTCAATCTCACTCTATTAATGTTACGTGGAACGCACATACACACAGGATCACGCAAGCCGAAATCACGTCGAGCACAGACACTCACTTCTGTGAACATGTTCAACCAATCTCCGAGTGTACGAGAATTCACTTTTTCTGACATGTCTCTACAAGCACAGATATTCACTTTCAGGATACGTTCCACTTATGTTGACCTTTGCATACTCACTTTGTGCCAATTCATTTGCTTATGTCTCAATTCCCCTGGTTACCCTACGCAGACTGTTCGATGTGCAAATCACACGTCACCAATCTCGGCGTATTAGTGTGGGTGGGTAACGATGTACTCGACTGCTCCTGAGCTAGTAGGAGCACCTGCTGCGAAAGGCTTGTCTTTTCCTCTCTAGGCGTCTCCTAAATACTTGTAGGGTCCGTTTTCTTTCTTATCGCTCGATGTAACTTGCGCTTAGAAGAGGTTTAGTGACAAAATCTCAAGCATCGTACTAATCGAATTCTGTTGACTACTTTTTCCTGCCTGTAAACAGTCCGCAAATCGATCATTTGTTTCAACTAGGAGGGTCAGTACAACTAAACAATTATGATAAAGTAGCACCTAGGTATTTTTCAAACCATGGAATATTCGTACAGCTATTTAAGGCTGATGCTGCAGCAACAACCCAAGTTAAGGTCTTTTTTAATTCATATATTCTCCCGTTTTCCATTTACTCAGCTCCCGCTAGAAACTCTCAATCGGTTGTCCCCATAGCCCTGGCAGTATTTCGGGTTTCGTGTACGATCCCGGTGGCAACGTCACCTTCGTACAAGCACCTATTTGTCGTTGATCGGGCTTACCTAGAAAGTTCGATTGCTTCTTCACAAGCTGCACACTGTCGAGCATCGACCCTATACCATCTTCTTTTCGCCAAAGAACCTCCGAGACGTTACCGACCGAACAATCCACATTTTTCAACTCCCGGTTCCAGTGTCTCCATCTGGCAAAACGTGATTCCGACGGCTTTCTTACATGCACAGCCATCCTCCATCAGGAATGCGAAGGACTTTAGCTTGATCCCCACCAGAAGACCCGATCAAGTGCTCTCTTTTCAGCTCTGCTTTCCTATCTGCCCAAGATGCCGATATTCGAACGCGCTTCCTGTCCAAAATGCAGCAGGACAGCACGGACACAATAAAAACGTTGGCCGCGGAGCGTCGGGGGATAATCAACTTCAGGTACAAGTACCATGATCCAGGCCACCTCCACACATGATCTGGTCCAGGCTGTCGCAGTACCCATGTCGTAATCTTCCCGGCAGGTCACCCAACTCGACTGAGAAAAATCCCACTCTCTCCATGCCGATTTTGTGGTGCGTCGCATTGCCGAAAAGACTTCACCTTCCGATAGCACCTATTCCAGCGATGTGGCCCGGTGGATCATCGTGATAGGTTCTGCGATCCAACATCAAGCAAAGGAGTAAAGCTTGGTCTGTTCCCCAAGAGCAATCCAAAGAAGAAGTCACGATCCAGACGTAAGCTCATAACTGATCCAGTTGGTAGCTCCATGAGACCGCTGACCAAATTTCAAGCCAAAGCTGCTGACCAAATGAAGTTCGTCGACTCCTTGATCACTGCTTAGCCCGACCGATTGCAGTCAAACGCTCCCTCGAACATCGCGATTATCTCCGAGAATCTATGGAAATCCCCTGGTGCGCTACTATTCTAGGTTATCTCCCAACCCCCCCAGTAACGTCTGCGGTGGTCGGGTGAATCCAACCAGGTAAGTGCAATGTTCCGTATCTATTCGGAGCATCAGCTTTGACGAGGTCTGCCACAGTACAAAGGCAAGGTTTGACTACTTGTCCTCGACTGGCTCGAAAACCTTGGCTTGGCTGATCTTCCTCACCTGGGCATCTGCAGTGCGATACCATCTCCGACAGTACTTACTGATCGAACCGACTATATCACCAGTGGTCTAGAACGACCTTAACTGCTCTGCATGCACTCGGACCGCGTTACACATCGCACTCGCGATTCAACTAATATCCTGTCTCACAAGTTCTGTCTCATACGCAGTGCTACTCTTGGTCGATAGAGCTTAAAATATTGGAGGACACGATTGTCCTGGTGCCCTTGCCCTATTCTGCCTGGGTAGGCCTGATGTTTGTGATCAGGAAACTGAGGGGATCCTTTCGCATTTGCGTCGATGTTTCCCCTAGTCCAAACACTGCGCTGGAGCCGAACAGCTACCTACTAGCAGTTCCAGCAGATCTCCTTACATTACTCAAGGGCGGCATGCGCTTCGTCAAAACCGATCCAACAGACGCTTACCTACAGACTGAAGTTGGTATTGAGTTGCTAACGTACACCGTGGTCTCCTCCAGTACACCATACTACTCTTTGGCATGAAGACCACCCCAACTATTTACCAGCAAACGCTGGATGCGCTGAGCTCTGGTATTTCAGATACAGTGGGGCGCCTGGACGATCGCCTCTTTGTTCGTCGAATACCAGAAGAGATCCGAGTGCTCCTAAGCTTGGTCCTTCGAAGTGGGCAGGAGTATAGACTTCTCCTGAAAGTATAAAAGTGTAAATTTTCCCTCGGTAGATCAAATACCTTAGGTTCTTTTATGATGCGAGTGATCGTCATGCTGATCCTGAAGACGTCACAGTCTTCCAACAGAGCCAGCTCCAGAGGATTTTTCACAGCTGCGGTCCTTCCTCAGAGCAATCAGATATTACAGTGTCTTCCTAACATGGTTACATGATGTACGAGCGCCACTCAACCGACTATTGCAAAAGGACTTTGCACTGCCTCACCTCACACGAGAAGACTTTCGTGTGCATAAAATCTGTACTGAGTGCGGACCTACTACTGATGCAGTATGACCTTTCCTCATTAATCTTAGTCGCCGTTGGCGCTTCCAACTAAAGGATCAGGGCAGTCCTGTCTCACCGCTTTACAGCTGGTTCTGAGAGAGCTGTCATGCACTCCACACGCACACTGAGGTCAGCAGAGTTGAACTGCAGCCTGATCCAGAAGGAGGCCCTGGCCATCGCATTCGCTGTTATGAAAAGTCACAATATGCTGTGTGATCGACATTTCACCTTATTGACTGACTACAAGCTGTTGCTATCAATGTTTTGCCCCAAAGAGCGCATCCCGGAGTACACATCCAGTCGAATTCAATGGTGGACCGTCATCCTTCTTGGAGACGACTTTGGAATCCGCTTCCGTCGCACCCAGGATGTCGGTCAAACTGACAATCTCTCTCACATCGTCCCAAGCATGCTGAAGAGCAGGACATGGCGATCGCCGCCTAACATTGTCCTCTCTAGAGAATGCATTTACACAAAACGTCTAATTTCGTGAGGGACACCGCAGCTGTGGCACGACCCATCATGTGTCCACTTGCTACTTCTTGGCCGCCAACTTCGCTGGAATGTTTCAGCAACCCACTGGATCAGAGTTGATAACTAATGATATCACTAAAAACTACATTTAAAATCAACGGAGAAGCGATCTGAATCTGTCAAATCACGAGGTTAACCATTCAGTTGGTGTTCAACAAGGTGAAACTTATGAAAAGATGACGCTGAAATCGGAGAATTCTTGATTTCGTAGTAATGACTACCAACTAATTGCCGGCGCGCTCACCCGTGGCTCATGTCAAGGGGAATGGGAACAGCGGCAGTCAAGTTCACTCTGTCAACAGGCCATATTTACGGTCAGTCCGCACATTAGAAGTTCACGGGGGCTTTGTGAATTTAATGTGCGGATTCTTGCAGCTTTTACATCAAGCACAACGGTCCGTCATTTATCACATTCAGTCTACTGTAGCGTAATGTCCCATTCTGGCAAGACTTGTCAGGAAGGTCTGCGATCGCCGCGGTCCCCGTCCCGTACTCCTTGTTAACGCTGTATCTGGGCTGCACGTACCCCTCCACCCTACAGCTGGTCAACGTGCCATTTGGACTGCATTTATTCCAGCGTTCAGATTGAAGCATCATCTGAAGTGTGCCTACACCTCGCTTCCTCTTATCCTCACTTGTTCCCACCTGTCCGCACATCCCACATTCACCCACCCTCTGCGCGCCCCTTGTTATGTGATAACCCCAAATTGACATCAGCTTCCGTTTCGTCCGTCCTCACTGACCCTGGTCCTACACGTTTGCTTCCCACGCTACGACTATTCCCCTGCACTATATCAATGAGCAAGCGGCCTAGATGGTGTACTATCCGCAACCGCGCTCAGCCTTTCCACGTCCTTACCCCGCCTGGAACAGTTCTGACCGGTAATGACTGGGCATCCATAGAACCTAGCCTGTTTACTTACAGTTGTTTGCATGTGTAACACTGTAATCAGCTTCCGTCTGGTATTGACGTGTTAATTGGGTAGTAACTCAAGG